TTACAGATCTATGCACTACAATTCACAATATCAAAACATTTACTATTCTCTGTATTTGATGCTTATTCAGTGCAGAATGCGTTTATAATCCACTTTGATAGAAAAACACTGCTGCATTTTCTTTGTTATTTCATCATTTCAAGTTCATCTCTTCGATCATAACACAAGCAGCTTAAGAAGGGACTCCTAAGCTCTCATTACAAGCCTTGTTTTCTCTGTTCCAACTCCTGGGCTCAGAGATTTCCATATAACAGCCAACCCCATCTTAACCGTTTAAATGATCGCAAATGACTCAAGATCTCACATATTTCTTGATCCAAGCTAATATCCAGTAAGTAAATAAGTCTCCCATTTCACACAGTGCCCAGTGATGTCAGTCAATGAGCACCACTGTGTATGTGGCAGCTCCTCGCTATTCGCTCGGCGTGTTTAGATTTTTGCTCTATGGAATCCCACGCCCATTGTAAGCCAGGGCTAACCACCGACGCACACAGGACTCGCGTGTTTACGGCACATCCACGCACTTAAATGCATTTGATTACACTTCTGCCGTGCCTACATATGCAGCACATACATTTCCATACAGACCACAGGCGCGTCCCTCAAAGACCCACGCCCCCCCCAGACGCGAGCCGGGGATGGGTGACATCATGGTCGGGATGACAGCACGTCTTCTAACCCCATTAGCGTGATTGCAGGTGACTCCTTTGCAGTGATTTATGGGTAAATATGCACAGACGCTCTCACTCTCTCTCATGTTGATTTACAGTTTGGTATTTGAACCGCAGCACATGGAGGGGGAGTCCTGTACAAATAATGACATTGTAAAAATGCAGACCCGCCCGAGCAGCACGGGAGGCTGTGGACATGCCTTTAAGTGTCAAGTGTCAAATAAAGTCTGGTGAAATCACTCGTGTGGGCAGCGAGGTTAGGAGCTGCTTCAATGGCATGTTTGACAAACGTGGCTATTTCTTAAAGCAACTCCATGAAGGGTAATTGGTCAACGCTGCTAAAATAAGAGCTAAAAACACAATTTTAGGGAGATTGTCCCATTGAAAGATTATTCCATGGCAAAGTATCTGAAAAGTTTTATGAAGAATTCTTTCCTTTTTCTAGCACTGGGACTTTAATCTGCATGAGATCGCTGCCGACACGTTAAATTGGACACGTATAATAATGATACACAATAATGATAATAATAAAACATAAAATAATACCTTCCGCCAAGAGACGCAGTTTTCCATCTGGGTCCAGGAAAACATATTCTTGTTGTTTGTTTGGGTGTGCTAAAGATTTTTTGTTTATGTAAGCGCACAGTAATTTGAGTAATTTGAGATAGAAATGCTCAGAAATATGTTCAAAAATGCAAAAACAATTGGACCAACTTCATTTGTGTTAAAATCAACCGCGGGTCTAAAAGCTCAAAAACCGAGTAGAAATTTCTTGGGTAAACTCAGGCTCAATCTCGGACTGAGGGTGCTGTTGTCGTGTTAGCATTAATTGTTAGCATTTGGCTCACTGTCAAAATGTTACTTTACTATTTAGTTGGATCCCCATTAACTTCCACAAGTGGTCAGTGAAGGGGGCCATTCTGCTTAAAGGAGCAATATGTAAAAATCTGGCCAAAAGTGGTACTGCAGTCACAGTCAATATTTTGTAGTCCTCTCCCACTCTCCCTGACTCAGGTTGCCAGATTCACACCAAATCCAGCAGCAAACACAGGGAATTATGTTATCAGTTGTTTGTCCGTCTCCATTCACATTGCCATGACAGCCGTGCTAATGCTGAATGAATGTTTTGATTAATGTTATTATTATTATTATTATTTGGACATTTGAGATAAAAAACAAAAACAAAATAAAAGCAATGTAATTATACATAGTTTATGCAAAATAAATAAGCAATTGATGTCCAAAATAGGAGTGGGAAGAATGGATATTGGAACGTATTTCTTCAGCGTATCAACATCAGGGTTTGCTCAAGAGGATATCACCTTTCAATTCTATTTATTCCCTATTTTTTAGACAAACATGTAAAAGTCCCACATCAAAAAGAGACTAACATTATTTGAATTGGGGTACATGTGGTCTTAAATGATTATTTTTACAATTAAGCTATAATCTGCAAAAAAAACGTCTTGACCTTCATCTTTTACCGTTTTTAGAGCAATCTGTCATAGAATGTGATAACATGCAATAAATACAAAAAGACATAGCCCGGGATCGAACCCGGGTTTCTGCATCGTAAGCGCACAGCTTAGACCACTAGGCCATCGATTCACACAAACAGAGACACTGTGAAGAACGGACTCAAACTAGAAAATTCTGCATCACACGTGAACTTTTATCAGCTGTCTCAATTGTTCAAAGGCATCCCGATATAAATCCTCGTTTTAGTCTTTCTTTTGTCATTAATGATTTGAGAGTCATAACAAGACCTTTTTTAGTTCTGCGCCACATGTTATTTTACCACTGAGATTAGTGAGCCGCACGGAGTTCTGGCAACCCGATCACGGACTTACATAACACTTCCTGATTGGCGAAACGGCGGAGGGTAGGACATCAAAATCAAAACAATAACAACTTTTACGGGTCGTAAAACTAATTTTGATAATCAAATATCTCGGCTGAACTACTGTTATCAGTTAAAGATGAATTCGAAAAGAGTATGATTTAATAACGCCTTTTGAAATATTCGGGTCATTCAATGATGACTTGACATGCAAATATTACATATTGCTCCTTTAACATCAAATCATATTAAAAAGTTCAACTGTACAGTTTCCAACAGTATTAAAAGTCATACAACAGAATTTAAAACTGAATCAACATTTCAGAACATAATGCTTTCATGGTGTTTTATTTATTTATTTAAAACGGTGTTTAAGCTCTTATCTCAGCTGATTCCGAACAGCAACTGTAGATTTGTGTTTTTAAGGATGACATTTTGCATGTTGCACAAGAGGCTGATCTTGAATCTGCGTCTCTCACACTGGTCCTCGAACAGAACCCTGCAGTTTCCCACTCTGTAGATTTGACATCACCAACTGTTTTCATTGGCTGATTGTTGACTTTGGGTTTTGGTCACATGTTCAACAGAGAATGTATGACCTGAGCATGTGTTTTGCACCAGAAACAATACATTTGTGTTTGCCAATGTTTAGACTATTTTGCTCAACTTAACCCACTCATCAAGTCGACATCGTAGGTTCAGGCTCAGTTCTGGAATTGAAGTAGATCAGGAACTTCCTCGTTCCATTTCTGAGTTTTCCTGAAAACATAAAAGTATAAAAAATCACAACTAATTGAGTCATTACCTAACAAACAAACAAACAAACCCTGGCAATTGTATCTGCCCCTGGAGGAGGTACTCTCTAGACCAGTGTAGAAGCCACAGCTGCCCTGGGTCAGACTGCATTTAGCATCGTCAGTAAAGGTTAGTCAGTTTGGTTCACACATTGGCATTTATTCATTTATTTATTTGCGTACATGCATCATAGATATTACCTTTACATTTTTGCAACATGAACAAACAGGAACAGAAGAAAGGCACAATATCTTATAAATGGTGTGCCCTGTTTTAACATTTCCCCGTAAACATTATCCTCACTCACCTTCAACATCACCTTTCACCAATCTACCATTTTTCCATCACCCATTTTTGTCATATTCAGTATATTCTAGAAAGAAGTTAACTTTTTCCATTGATCTGCAGATTCGCTTATTTTTGAATAACTAAACACCAAGCTTTCGACCTCATACTTCTACCATAATTTATCATTCCACAGAGCAGTTTGAGTTTGGTGAAATAAACCCTCTTCTGAGTCCGTGCACACCTATTGACCTATCGATCCCCTCTGCTCGACACCACCTGCAAATGTTCAATGTGGACTTTTTGAACATTTCAGTTTGAGGTGCTCTGATTTTTCGCTCTTTAACCTTCATTTCTCCCCGCTCTGTGACGTCTTGTTGTCGGTGTGGACCCCTAGGTATCGTTCATGAATGAGACGTGCCTGGAGCCAGTCTCTCTTCCCCTGACCATAACCCACTGAGCTCATTCCAACAGACTCAAATGCCCTGAATAATGAGCAGTGCTATATTTGGCTTTCCTAAGATATTTGGCTTCCATGATCCAAACATGGAAAATTACATGATGAATTGTGTAAACCTAACTGGAAACTGGAGGAAGGTTGGTGAATACACAGATTATGACATACAAAGGGGCAAAGAGATATATTTAGTCAGCCACCATTTGTACCAAGTCCTCCCACTGCCTGTAATTGCCATCGTAGCTACATGTACATCTCATTTATTAACATTGTATAATCCTGGTACAAAATAGCAGTGAAGCTTTACACATTCATCACTGAATGGGGAAGGACTAAATAAGTTATCCAAAAAAAATTTAAATTCCTCACAAAGATACGGTTTATCTTCTTCCCGCTCCCTAATTAGGTAGTCGTGTTTACCACGACACCTTCTCCACCGATTTCCAGTGATGTCTGCTGTCGTTGTAACCTTGAGCAAGGCCCTTGACTCCGGTTTTCCTGAAGCCCCCCCGAAAGACCAAGACTATACCATAGAGCGGCCATCCTCCTGTGGACTCAACACCTGCAGGAGGGATCAGAGGGGGCTGGTGCTATGTGTACTGGGTGGTATCTCTGGCCAATGCCCCCCCCCCCCCCCCCCCAATTAAAACACGTTTTACTTTGTTACATACACATTATACAAAGGCCGGCGTCCCCCTACTCCTCGAGGCTCACACAAGTGGTGTGTTTTAAAAAATTGCTTCAGCTCGTGTTTAAAACCAGCCCAGTTCGTGTTCTTTCTATCATTCATCCCGGAGCTGAAAGATGATTCATGGTCCTGGTGCAGATAGGAATGTCACTGTGTTTATATCCTACTCAGAGTATGATATAAATTCATAAATCAGCAGGAGATGACGCATAGAGAAGACACCATTTCCTGTGTGTTTTCTCTCTGACGTCTCAGCAGTGAGTAATGTCCCCCTCCCATGATCCTTCAGTGCCTGTAGACTCGTTGGAGGTGGCACATGTGTATGAATGCCCACCTCAGACCAGTGTGAGTGTCTGTAACACCAGGACACATGTCCAGGTTGCAGCCTGTATCAGAAGTATGCCCCCCTCACAGAGCTCACACAAACCAAAGGTCACCAGGCGCTACCTTCAATTCACATTCCACTGTCCCCTGGATTTATACTGATGTTTGTGCCAAGTCCAAGTATGTGGCCTGGGGCTGGAGACGGATGCTGCTTCTCTGCTCCACACACAATAGAGAGAATATTCTTTTCAATGTGGTAGATACGATAGAGCAGAACTCCGTCAAGAGGCTCTGTTATATTTATTCCCATACATCCATTTGGATCACTTTCACTGGGCCATTGTATTAGATTTATTTCAAACCTGCAGAACACAGTTTCTCTGAATTTGTTTTACACTAATACAGGTTTGAGAAGGGGTTGGATGAAGCAGAAACTTATTTGTTTCCAGCCCCCTCTCACAATTAACACAATACACAGAATACAATGGAAATCAATACAAATTTGATACTGTTCAGTACATACAATAATATATGGTGGCTGAGTGGATAGCACTCTTCTCAGCTTCTTGCTTCTCAGCAAGAAGGTCCTGGGTTCAAATCCCGGTCGGAAGCGGGCTTTTCTGAATGGAGTATACATGTTCTCCCCGTGTCTGTGAAAGCGGTAAAGTGAAAGCAAAATGATACATGCTTTTAATTTAAAAAAATATATAAACACTTTAGAGGAGCATTTAGACGTTTCCCTAATGTTCAAATGTCAACCAAACTCTTAAGTAGACCCCTGAGTGGTTTGATAATGTTGGTGAATATTGGTCACAGAGCAGGATTCTGAAGTCCAAAAGACTATGGCACGAATGCAAACTTACCAAGACACGGCCGTCTGCCTAAAATAGCAACGCGAACAAGGACAGCACAGATCACACCGTCTCCGCTCTCAAACCTGACAGTTTGTTTTCACTTTACATTTATTTTCCACAGAAATAATAAATCATCTGTGGTTGTACTGGACAAAATACGAGCTATGGCTATATGTTTTCAAGCCACTGTTGCTGCGATATTGAATTAAATCTGCCCCTTCCATGATTGAACATTAGTGCATTATTTTGAATCCGCAGAGTGGGTCATCAGTGTCGCGCACCTGTGGACTCCAGAGATGTTTTAATGATTGTGGGGGGAAAAAAGAACAATTTAGCTAATTCGCTCTATTCTGCTGATGTCATTCCTTTATACTCCAATTAGCACAGAACAGAACAGAATACGAGTATGGTTATCCCACATACAAACACAAGACAAGTTCCTCCAAACGCACCTGTTGCTCTCTCCCGTCTCCATCGCGCCCCTCTACTGTATCACCCCCCTCTTTCTTCTCCGGAGGCTACTGTGTCTATAATGAGCATTTCCTTCCGCCCCCCGTCACCTATTCTATCGCTCCTTACCCCCCACCTTCCTCTGTCACTCCCCTCCTCGTGTAGAATTGGAGAAGCTTATCGCCTAGCAACCACAATTAAAGTACAACAAGTCGGCAGCGGCGGAGAGCAGCCACAAAAATCTTTGCGGAGGGAAAGAAAAAAAAACAATCGTTTCACCAGCGCGGCGTACTCCAACATGAAGAGGAGTTGCTCGGATGGAAATGGAAGTTGGGATTGTGCGTTCGTTCATTCGACAGGTAGGTTTTGTTTTGAGGAAGTGGGGATTGTTTCCGCGCTGATTTGTGAGTTGTGTGCATGTGAAAGTATTAGGAATTATCAGATTATGGTTGGCAGGCAGCAGCAGTGTGGTTTCTGCGTTGAAGTGAACCTGCTGCAAAGGTATGCAGCTGTCACTCAGAGCAGAAAAGACATTATCGTTTGTTTTTGATCCTATTTTGTAATTGTATTTTTTAATGTTTATGTCTATGATTCATGCCTGATGAGATGTGAGGTGCTGTGTGTTCCTTGTGTAGGAAAGACACCCTACACATAAAAGTTTATTGATTGGAAGCAAATTCACTAATTATAGGATTCAGCTTCGTCTATGATACATGACACATTTCATATTTGTCGCTGTTGGTTTGACTTATATAGGAAAAATACTTGTTGCTGCTACTGCCCAGAGAAGCAGCTATACATTCTAAATATAGAAATTATAAAACATTGCAGATTAACTGTTGAAGTGTCAGTTTTTGCTTACATGTTCTAGTCTATTTTGTTATTATCTCTCGGTTAAAATGAAAACTTCTGTGGTCCTAATTTTCACTTTTTCATTAATATTAATTTCAGACTAAAATGTAGTTAGTCCCCTAGATTTCTAATCAATATTTGCTACATATTTAGTGTCAGATGTGATACACAAGATTAATATTTTCACTAAAACAATAGAAAGACTTTATCATTAAGGATCAGATTAGTAAACAGTGCTTTTGTTAAATGCCATAGAAAACACATGCTTCTTCTTTCTGCTTTTGAATAAACATCATCCCAAGAAGCAGTGTGTTCTGTGTGTTCTAAAAATAGCCGCACTGGTCATTAGTGGTCCAAACGTGGAGAGGAGAGAGGGGGGGATACCTGTAGGGGAGCACCCAGGTGAAAGGCCACTCTCGGTTGGACATGCCCTGTTCGCACCAGGGATACATATGCAAAGGTATAAGAGGCGACTGCTCTAAATGTCACCGAGCCGCACACATAAAAGCACAGAGAGAGAGAAACCGTTGGTCTATGGTCAGGGAGAGCGAGCGCCGAGGTGGGCTTTTGAATGACAAGAGTGGGGGCTCCGTTATGTCACGTAAGATCAGATACAGTATCTATAGACGGGTTATTTCTTATGTAAGACGGAGTGAGCGCTGTTGTAGGTTGGATATGAGAGTCTGGTCCTCTTCAGGATACAAAATTCAAAAAGCTCAATTTTGAAGGGAAAAAATAAGACCTTAGTGGTGTCCTAGACTGGTCTTACTCTTAACTCTGGTCAATGATCATTTCCTACATGTACGTCTGGGTCTGATCTTAGTGGCTGCAGTCACCTCGGTTGAATCCCCTCCGACCAATCAGCGAGCGAGGGAGGCGGGTGTTGTAGGGGAGTGTCAGTGACGTCAAGAGTTTGCGCCGAATTAGCTGGTTGTAGTTTAGAAAAGGCGGCGAATGCGATAGTACAGTAATCCGTTCTGGTTTGGCTCCAAATAGCAAGAGATTGAAGCCTGGAGCAAGAGGAATGTTTAGCAAACGTCATTACTGGCAAAGATGTTGTGGCTCTACTTCCCATGGGCTCTGTTCGTGGCAAAGAAGATGGCTAAAGCTAGGCTAAATGCTAAAAGCTTCACTCACTCATACGTCATTACATAGGTCACGGTAAACTCAGATCCAATCGTTTCAATCTGCAGGAGTTAACCCCTTCCACTATTTAAAGAGTACAATGGTATGATAAGACCAAGCTAGTAGTGTCCAAACTTTCTAGTTAGAGGGCCACTTTAGTTCATCAGACTTTTCCATGGGCCAATAACCTGGATATTAAAACTGTTTTGATTGGATTTGGGCTGTTTCGGGCTCTAAAAGAGTGTATGATACGTCCATATTGATTCACACCACACACTACATTGGCACCATATATGGACTTTTGTGAAACAATCAAAAACACAGGTCAGTATATAGTAAAAGAGTTAATAACATAATTCCAAAGGCTCTGAGCTTTACAACGAGGTATTGCATGACATATAGGTGGAGCTTGTGTTGGCTGAATGACACTGTCAATGTGCCTCAATGGCTATTTTATGTTGGGGAGTCAGAGGGCCACATGGAATGACACTGTGGGCCACATTTGGCTCTCGGGGCATAGTTTGGACACCACTGACCTGAGTGTTGGAAATGCCGCGGTGAAAATAAAGGAGTTTTACTTTAAAGTCAGTTGCGCCTCAGACTCTTCTTTTTTTCCCTTCAAAGTTGTTTCTTATGTTAATGGTCTTTGTCCTGATGTTGCAAGAACAAACGAAAGAAACAGAACGATTCTTCGGTATGTAACTTGAATATAAAACTGGTTGATAATGGTTTCCCATTCTCAGTCAACAGGTTGTGTTCATGTGACATCACAACATTTCAAAGAGCCTACAGTTTATATTGTGGTGGAGAGCAGATGAAATATATTTCCTGGTAACTACAGCCCCATTTCCACTTAGCCATATACTACTACTTCTACTTCTCTACTCTTCTCTACTCTACCTGGTTGTGTTTCCATTACGCCTTAGTATCTGGTACCGTATCCTAGCAACCCTACCCACACAAAAACAGTATCCGTGGATTTTTCTTGGTAACTATGGCTTCCAGCAGCCAGTTTGAACACGTTAGTACCAGCTCGGCCTGAATAGAACCAGAACCAAGCGGGACTAAAGAAGGACCTGGTACTGGTTAAAACAAAGGCTCCCAGTCCGGGTAGAGCCAAGTCGGTGGATTAAGGGCTTTAGGTAACTGTAAAAAGGAAGTTATTTCTCTGTAATTCTTTAGCCAATCCATATGAACCAAAAACTCCCACAATAATACACATCAACTATGGTCTCGTGGTCTAGAAGTGGAGACAATATTTCACAAACCTCTGCCTGATGGTGGCCAGTGCAAAGTCTGACAGTCCAGACGTAAGAATGATTTGTTATGAATCTAATCAGAATAGAGTTGTCTTTTCACTTTCCCTCCAACTCAAGTAGAGGTCTAGAGCATGAACGCAACATTGTGTTATCCGATCTATTCTTTTCAAATGGATTCTGGTCGTGCCACCCGCAAGAAACAACGATTAAATCATAATGGCCACCCTTCGTCACGGCGTTATGCAATTTCACTGGCGCGTTGAAAGAATTGGATTACATCTCGTTCACTGACAAATTGCAAAAACCCAACGTTCCACATGAAAAGCCATATTACAGAGTGGTGGCTTATCCCTACAGCCACAGTCCACCTGCCCGAGGGCTACCTGCTCTTTTTTGCTGTCAGCTGTGCCACCAGGATGCACCAAATTATTGTCGCGGAGACGAAGGGAAATATTCTGCTTCGTGGCTGAACTCAAATAACGGCTTTATCGGATACAGGCCTCAGGATGTCATGTGCGCTGAAAAAAAATTCTTGAATCACGTGTTTTGTTTTTTTAATATATCTTAATTTGAGTACATTCTGACGGTCTTATCAATCATTTAGTCTTATATCAAGAACTGTTGCTTTATTTTCTTATTCCAAGGGAAACATTTCTTCTATCTATCATTTTGCTTTGTCCCATTGGCAAATCATGTTTTAAGGCTGTCAAAATGAGCTCAAATTTAAGATGGAATGTGCCAAATATGAGCAATTTTTGACTTATTTTTCATCACTCTTTGCATCGTGAGAAGTTGAAATGGCATTATTAGTTGAAAAAGTGTTTGAAATCGCAGCCAAAAGACTCAATAGAGACCGGGTGATTAGTGGAGTAATGGTTACAGGGTGTTTCTGATCACCTGTGCCTCAGGGAACATGCTACTTACAAGGACAAAGGACCAGCACTAAAGCACAGTACCTTAATTTTGGAAGCAATCCCTCCACATAGACTCAGAGCCTTGATCATGTGATTTTCTGCCACTTCTGCCAAACTGTTTGTGTCATTGCGCCATTTTCCTAATTTTCGGTTTTGATGTAAACATTGTAATACCAACATTTTCTCCTTTTTCTTTTTACAGAGTTTGGGCTCAGCTGACCGAAAAGAGAACCACCACAAAAAGTAAGAACTTTCAATTCCTAGTTCTTAGTTCTTTACGTTCATCAGCCACTCCTCTACATCCTTTGAACAGTGTGTTTATACTGATTATTAAATGTCTCTCCATCTAAAAGTAAGTCCTTAGAAACTGTGGGGGCAGTATACAGTATACATTCTTGATCTTTCTTACAGGGAAATATTACATGATAAAAGGTCAACTATAGAATATTAAAATGAAATACACAACAATAGATTTACAAAAGCATTGTGTGGTTGGAAGGACATTCACTGATGCAGAATCACAATTTCCCTCTTAGGCAAGGCAAGGTTATTTGTATAGCACAGTTCATACACAAGGCAACTCATACGGCACATGCGTCAATGGGTTAATTTTTTGACACAATTAATGAAAAATTTGTGTTTACGTGCGTTAACGCAATAATTTTGACAGCCCTAAAAACATATAACATCCTTCAGTTGGATGCACAGCTAAACAGAAATGTTTTAAACCTGGTTTTAAATATTGTCAGAGAAGAGGCTTGTCTCACATTTTCAGGAAGACTGTTCCAGATTTTAGCAGCATGACTCTGAAATGCAGCCTCCCCATGTTTAGGCAATCCCTCAGTTGTATGCACTGCTAAACAGAATTGTTTTTAACCCGGATTTGAACATTGTCAAGGTAGAAGTCTGTCTCATATTTTCAGGAAGACTGTTCCAGATTTTAGCCACTTAAATCTGAAAAGCTGCCTCCCCATGTTTAGTCTCAGTCCCTGTGCTCCTCAGAGTCCACATTGGTCCATAAGGCACTAGTCCACATACACTGATCAAACTGGCTTCAGATCTGCTCAGAGCTCGTGGTCATGTTTATTAAACCGCTCATGTAACATTTATGACAGTTACGGCGAGAAAACTGCCCCTTTAACGCTTGTGCAGTTAGGTTTCTTGCATGTTGAAATGACTCAAGCACAGCTGCTATATTTACCATGTTTGTGTGATAATAATAGGAGTGCTCTGACATGTGTGCCAGGTAAGCGGGCACACAGCACACTGTATGCCAGAACAAGGCGTCTGTTGCCAGGAGACTAGCGGTTGTTGTCAAGAACCAGTTCAGCCGTCACACAATGTCAGGCTCAGGCCATCGAGAGAAGAGCAGCTCCCGGTGTGTGGCAGCATACGCTCAAATACTCAACCCACCTTATCTCATTTGCGAGAAATGTTGACTCTCAGATTGTAGGAAAAGTGTCAACAACATTAATTTGTGATAAGTATGTTCGGTCACACGCAGCGGCTCGGTCAGACGTTGTTCTGTCTGTGCCTTTAGGTTGATCAGACGGGGTTCACATGCGGCATGATCTTGCTGTGTTATGATCGGGGGCTGTCAAAATCATCAAATATGAAACTATGCTAAAACTAATCTACATTAAAAAAAAAATTAAATAATATTGAGAAGACAGACGAAGACAAACTATACGTTGACCTGTACAAAATGCAGTTGGAAAAAAATGGAAAAAAAAAATATTAATGATATGACCCACTGCTAAACTATAGTTGAGTAAGTATTGATGCCTCAAAAACAGGTCAAAGCATTTTTATTTTTTACCTGTTGCCGCCTCTAAACATGCTGTAAATGTTTCCCCCATAAATGTTTGTTCATTACCGCTATAGATGATGTCGGATACCAGCAGCTCCCTGTTAGTATATACTGAAAAAATGTAAAAAGCCATAAAAAGTACAATAACATCTTCAAAAGAGCATCTCAAACCTCAGCGGTATCAAGTCTATTCATCAGTATCAAAATAGAGTTCAGTGTTTGTTTACAACAGTAATGCAGCGGCCTTTTACAACAGGCACTTGTGGCGGCCTGCTAAACCAAGACCCCTCCATACCCGGTTCCCATGGTACTGGAAAACAAAGATGCGACAAAATATAAGTCCACCTGTAAACATTTCTCACGTCTCTCTCTCTTTTTAACATCCTGCAGGAGGCGTCTCACCTCTAGGGGGCGCCTTAAGCTCAAATACGATCATTAAAGCAGACACTCCGACTACGACAGAACAATATGGAATTAAAAACGCATTTTCTCGAGCGGCATTGCATGAGCTTAATCTTGGTCAAATCTATTCAAAAAAATATAGATTTAACTAACTAACGTATCAATCAAAAGAAAAATCGCCCAATCAATTATCAAAGTGTTTTTGATAATCTTTTTTTTTTTTTTGAATGTTACTTGATAACCATAGAATTCCATACCTCAAACCTCAGACACAACAACAATGGTTTTGCAGACAGGAGGCTGGAAGATGGTGCAATAAATCTATATTAATTTAGCTCGCGGCAAATCCCTGATGACATTTAGTCGTTGGAAATGATGCAGTAAGAGATGTTCCGACTGGTCAGACAGGATGGTCACTGAGGGTGTCTCCAGAACCAAGGATCACTGCTTTGTTCACTGAGCTGGGGATTTAGGTGCGGATGTCAGGGAAGAGAGACGTTGATTAGACTAATTTATTCACAGGAGCGGGCCGTGTAATTGTTCACATCTGGGCTGACGTCTGCGGAGGAAAAAGCAGTGAGTTCTGCAGGTTCTGTCTTCTGTCCAAACTGTCCTCCTCAGATAGATACAGGAGATAGTTGTTTGTAAAAAAAACAAACAAAAAAAAAACACCTTAAAAGGACCTAAATCAAGGTTTATATGACTTAATCTAGGGCTATGGTCGACCAAAGATGTTCTAGCTCGACGAAACACAAGCACTTTTGAAAATTAGTCAATACATTTTACAAAAAAATACAAATATCTCCACAAATTATATTAACGGAAAGAAAAGTTGATTCCAATGATAAAACTTGTACCTGTTTAAAGACTGAAACTCCCCCGCACTGCGATTACCGATAGATGGCCAAACCTGCAGCTGAAAGCCAGATCCTGTCAGACCTCTGATGCTAAGCAGGGCAGGGCTTGGTTAATACTGTGATGGGTACTGTGATGGAGAAGCCTTGAGCGGCTTTTCCACAGAGTGCACAGAGACGGGACCAAAACTACTCAGACCGGTTTGAAAATCCCATTGATTCTTCTTCTTTGCGAGGGTATTGCAGGGGGGCCGCAAGAGGTCATAAAAAAAAGTGTTATATAATTATTGTTTGTGAAATTAAAATATTTGTGTTCATTATTTGACTTGAATAATCAAATTGTAGTCATTTTTGTTTTACAAAATGGGGTGCGTCATTTACTTGTTTGTAGCAGAAACTATTTCCCCCAAATCAATAAAACGAGAAGAGCCTATTTTTAACGTTGTCTTCTTGGTTATTATCTCGGGGGGCCGCGCAAACCTGTCAGATTTTTACTGACTTTGGGAATGGCTGGTTTAGTGAATTGAATAATAGTAATAATCAAAAATATCACCATAATGACTGAGAGTTATTTTGCTTATATTATTAAACAACAATCACAGTGTTTGGTGTCGTTTTATGTAGACAACCCAAATGAAAAACAGCAGTAGCTTTTTTTAAATACATCTGGGAGAATAATGGTGATTGTTTTTGTGTCCCAATTGTACACAATGTGCTACACACAATTACTATGAAGAATACAACAAACAATCACAATGAACTCGTTTGGTGCTTTCTTGTCCTGAACTCATGTCATGGGCCTCTGTCAGAAACAGTGGTCGCCGTAGCAACAGGGGCCCACCTCCAGATGTTGATGCTCTTGGTCACGACCAGAGCTGGAGGATTTTACCTGTTGTACGTGTTTTTAGTGGTTGGGGAAACCGGAGCACCCCGAGGAAACCTATACAGACACAGGAAGAACAGTGGAAACTACACTCAGAAAAGTAGAATTGAATAATAACACAGAATTTGTGTTGACCATGATGTATCTGAATAGGATTTTATTGATTAATTGAACTGATGAGGCTTTTGACATTTGACACAATTACCAATCATGCAAAACTTAAAGGAGCTATACCCGTTTCTGCAAGGTTTGAATGTTTAGCACCACCCTTCAACTCGCTCACAGGCTTCTCATTTCCCTTACACTCTCATCCCACGGAGCCATCTAGTTTTATTTGCTATATGATACATATGCTAACATTAGCATTAGCGCAACTTAAGCTGTACAGCAATCACTGATGAAATGGTACAAAAGCCACGCACTGCTAACAAAATATATAACTGAAAGATTATCGCTAGTTCCACGTCCGAATGTAGTCCGAGCATAGATAGTCCAAGCATAGATAGTCCGAGCCGGTCCCGCAGGTCTCTCCCATAGACAAGTCTCTCCAGAGGATTCGATGTAAGCTAGCTATGTTCAGGGCTTGATTTTTTCTTTGATCATGTTTTCGCTTTAGTTCCCTCTTCTCTTCCTCACTGTTGTGTTGTTCGGGCTGTTTTGCTGTGTCTGCAGTTACAGCCAGAGGAGTTATAGCCACTTATGCTAACATGCTACTGTGTTTAGCAGCGCTGTAGAGGCTAGAGGACGCAGCCTCGTTCTGTGATTGGAGGAGAGCAGGCGTCACGCTAAAGTCTCTACTCAGCACTTTTTACGGCCTGAATTCATACACAGCTGAATCAATGAGCTCAAGTTTTCAATTAAATTACGGATTATAATACAACTTGTATGTAGTAATAAGCCTTTTTATTAAGTCATTTAAAAAAAAATCGGGTATATCATCTTTAAGCTCCACTGGTCGTCTGTTCTTAGTCACGTGTTTGATTGGGTACATGTCTTCTCTTTATATTAAAGTTTTATGTCTCTCTCTTATTCATTTGTATCTGAACATTTCCCTCATTTCCCCGTACTTATCTCTCAAATATTTATCTACTATATTTAATTTTTTTTTTTTGACTGATGGTAAACCTGCATTGAAGCCAACACAACAGTTTAGTGGTGTGTGCTTCTTCTCTGTCTGGTGCACACTGGAGTAGTCTTGCATAGTTATTCCAGTGTGGTTTTAATCTTGAATTAGTTTAGTTTAGTTTTATTAAGATCCCCATTATTAAGAACCACTGAGGTGAAAGTCTCCTCA